TTTATAATATATACTTTTTTATTTAGTATAATATTAATAACTTGTTAATGTTGAAGGAACAAGTTATGAAAAATAAAATAAATTACGTTTCAAAAAATTGACAACTTTTTTATATATGAATAAGTGATGTTTGAATATATATATATATATATATAATTGATTATTTAGATATACACAACAAAATGTTCAAGATATGCAACAATAGGTAAAAATACTTGAAAATGAAAGTTATAATATATGTATGTATGTATGTATGTATGTATGTATGTATGTATGTATGTATATGCATGTAATTTTGTGTCATGTATATTAAAGTATTTGTCGACTCAAAAGTTCCCTTCTGTTTGGGAACCAAGGGGTCAATAGCTCAAATCCACCCTTAGCCCCTTAGCACATTTGACCGATCGTTGACAACCGTGCTAGCATCAAAGCTCTTGCTGGTGGCAACGAAGGTTTGGCACCAACAATCTAGGCTATTTCGATGATAGGATATTTTTATTTAAAAAAATAAAAGGCAAGGGCATTGGTAATTGGACCAATAAAATTAATTGCAATTTGGGTCCTTAGGCCTGCAGAAGCCTTTCAGAATTTTTTAGGCCCTGCATGTCATTAATTTGTTTTTGAGGGTCCTAATTGAGAGTCTCCCAATTTAAAACTCATCAAATCAAATAAGTAAAAACAATTACAAAAACAAAGCTCTACTATTCCTATTTCATAACTAATATTAGCCCATAGCTCGTGTGAACCATTATATGAAACAAAAGCTACTTTGATCTTTGTGAAATATGGATTCATATTCGATGAGTGCCTAGATCTTTTTATTTTGTAAGTATCTTACATGACATTATTAAAATTGTCGATTCAATTGAATGACAATTGGATATGTAGGTAAAAGACACAGAAATAATATCAAATCACAACCTTACCTTTTTGTTATATCCAATACTTTAATTTAATGGTTCATATGATTGCAAATAAATGATTGAAAACTTAAAATATATCTTTATAAAACTTTCTTTTGACTCATCATTTCTTTAAGCTTGAATTTTCAAGCATTGATTAAATCTTACCACTATAGTGTGGACACTTATCAAGTAAGAGAATTTGGGACATTTATAGAATTCAAATATGTAGGGGTTAAAAGACATTTTTATCCTTTAATTATTCGTGTAGATGTGTTTGGTATACTAATTTTTTTTTTTTTGTGAAACAATATTCCCCTTCAATAATTAAAAATGGTATGATATTGTCCTTACCATTAATGAATGTTAACTTTAACTTTTAGTTAACTCAAAAAATTATAAAAAAGACCTAGAAATTACAAAAAAAAAAATAGGCTTAATGAATTACAAATAAGAATTTTATAAGAAAATTAACACCAATTAAGTCTCCTAAAATACAAATAAATACTAAGAGACAAATATTATTTCTTATCATATAAAAGACTAAAATATCATTTTGATGAACTACTTTGACAAGATACTAGATGATTATTGAATCATCATTGTTGGCAATAATATTGGTAACTAGCTAAAAAAATATTTGTTTTAATATTGATTGATTAAAACATTAACACTGTAATATTTAATAATTTTTATCGAAGTTATTGCCAGCAATAATAATTTGATAATCACCCTGTAGGTAGTATCCTACTGAAATTGTCATTTTTTCAAGATAAGTTTTCATTCCCTATTATTAAGTAGTCACTCTCCTCTATATGTTGCATTTTATTGACAAAAAAGGTAGAAAGGTTTTAATGATTTTCTTAAGAGAAGTTGTCATTTCCCATTCTTAAGTAGTCATTATCCTCTATATGTTGCATTTTAATGATGAACAAAATGATAGAAAGGTATTTGTAGTTTTCTATAAGGTTTTAGTTATTTGTTCAAGAGAAGTTGTTATTTCCTATTTGTAAGGAGTCACTATCCTCCATATGTTGCCTTTTATTGATAAAAAAAATGGCAAAAATGTACTTGTAATTTACTATTAGGTTTAGTTATTTTTCAAGAAAAGTTGTTATTCTCTATTCTTAATATTTTTTATTTCAAATTTTAAATTATAAGAAATGACCAATAAATTTTTTTAATCATTTTCTATATTTTTTATGTCATTGTCTATAATTTTTTGTTCATTTGCATTAGTTTTTGTCATTTTTTGTAATTTTTAAATTTTTTTTTTATTTTTTAATCAACTAACAGTTAAAATTAACCTTTTTTAATGGTATGTAAATTACATCATTTTTTAAAAGTTAAAGAAAAATATTGCAAAAAAAAAAAAGAGAGTTCAAGGTAGTAGATATTTATGGACTTATAATTTTAAGGCTAACTTACAATTTAATTCAAAAATAAATGGGACGAACAATTTGCTAGTATTCACATTTATCAACTTATAGCCTATTAGTTTAATTTAATTACATTAATGGAGCTACCTTACAAAATAAAGAATTGAAGACCATAATTTTATACACCTACCTTTAACTAGTTGCAAATAGCCAAAGGGAAAATTTTAGGTGGAGACTCTTAAACAAACGTATTATAAAAAAGAGTCCTCAATTTTTTGAAATTTCATTGTAGGATTCAAGATTAAATTGAAATTAAATTTGTGATGGAAATGATAAAATTGCCTTATTTAAATGAACAACATACCATAGGTAAGACGACTAGTTCGTTCTCATATTGTATATTATTTATTTACTTACAAAGTACTGTTAACTACCTAATGTCACTTATTTATAGCTTTCATTTCACTTGATTTCATTTTAAGTGTTGGTTTTATGATAAGACAACATATTCATTCCCATACTATGTATTATTCATTTATTTATAGAATGTTGTTTATTTTCCCTACTCCACTTGTTTATGGCATTTGAAATGAAATTAAGTGAAAGTAGGATTATAAATAAGTGAAGTAAAAAAATGAACAACATTTCATAAGTAAATAAGTAACATACAGTAAGAGAATGGACAAGTCATTTTACCTATGGCATGTTGTTCCTTTAAATGAGGGTAATTTTATCATTTTTTTCACAAATTTAATTTCAATTTAGTCTTAGGTCCTACAATAAAATTTTAAAATTTTGAGAATTTTCTTTTTCATTATGTTTGGTCAAGTGTCTCTTACTAAAAATTTTCCATAGTCAAATTCAACTGCACAAAATTGGAAATTTGTTTGCTTTTTCTCAAGATTCAACAAAGATAATCACTATTGGTGCATTTTAAGATTAGATTAAATTGTAATGGTAGCTGTGAGAGTCAATCAAATGACAAGAGTGGTTGGCTGGTGAGCACATCTAACATATATAAATTGCAACCTTTTTTTTTACCAAAATTTAAGGAGAAATTTAATTTCTATCGCACTCTAACATTGTCTCTAGTTGTAACCAACCATGGGGTAAAAGAAACAAGTCCAAAATTCAAAAGACGGACTTTCAGGGTCACAACCAGGTATACTTTCTCATCTGCACCTCAATGAGAGTAAAGAAACAAAGAAGTTGAAGCAACTTTTGGCAATTCTGATAGGAAAGATGAATGAGGAACAATGTTTGTCGACAAAGGATATCAACAAATTGAAGAGATTCCAAAGACCTTGGCAACAATAGTGGCTACTAAAGATATTGGAAACTCAACTGACAACAAAAATGGTCACTAAATAGCATAATATGGCTAATGCTTTCAGGCCAATAATAAGGGGAAATTTCATTAAAATCCCTTGGATTTGACAAAATTTCAATTGGGTCTCAAAAAATTCTAAATGACCAAAATTCTCTTACTTGAATAATCAAAATACCATTCAATTATAATTAACATTACTGAAATAACAAATGAAATTATAGTTTTTATAAGTAACATTAATAAAATAATAAATCAAGTTATAATTTTTACAAGTAATATTATTACAATAACAAGTTAAGTTGTGGTTTTTTTACAAATAAAAAAAGTTAACTTGTGATTTTTACAAGTAATATAATTGAAATAATAGGCCAAGTTACTATTTTTACACGTAATATTAGTAAAATAATAAGGTAAATTATAATTTTTAAAAGTAATATTACTATAATAACAAGTTAAATTATGATTTTTACAAGTAATATTATGAGAACAACTAGAAGTTATGTTTATCTTATTAATGTTACTTGTAAAACTCATAATTTAACTTATTAATAAATTAATATTACTTGTTCAAGCTGTAAGTTGATTTGTTATCTTAGTAATGCTAATTATAATTAAAGGGTATTTTGGTCATTTAAGCAAGGAAAATTTTATTACTCTAGTTCTACGGTGAAATTTTAAAAATTTTTAAGACATAATTAGAATTATATTACATCCAAGAGATTTTAATGAAATTCTCCCCAATAATAAAGTTAATGCTTTGGTATCTCACTTTCTTATTAGTGCTTGTATTCTTGCGTGTGTGTGTGTGTGTGTTTTTTTTTTTTTTTGACCTAGAACTTGTATTCCTGTGTTTGAAGTTCAAGTTGATGAAATGTCGTGCGATCAAGTTTGTATCAAGCAGGCTAGGTCTATACTCCATATATATATATATATATGCTATTTGGAAAGTCGACCGTGATCTCTTATCATTTGATTAATGGAACTGCAAGCCTTTCAAAAAAGAACCAACGTATTTACATTAAAAATTGAATAAAATCTAAAATAATTCTGCAAATCTAAAAATTTCTCTTATAATTAAGATTTATGAAAAGATGGAATTGTCCCCGCTCATAACCAATATATTTGCAATTTTTTTTCCACTTTTGATTTTGTTACCAGTATTTTAAAATAAAATTCCAATTCATGCCAAAATCAGCCAAAAAATTATTACAGACAAAATATGACTATATTAGTTTTTTTGGGGTCTAAAAATAATTTTTAAAAAAAAAAGCGCCAAAGACTCAAAGGTCTAAAAATCTATTTTAGTTAACGTGATTTCATTATTTTAATTTAAATTTTTAAGTGCATTTTTTTTTTTAATATTCAAATCTTCAAAATTTTCATCACGAATTGAAGTGGTGAACCTTCCCAGCTCGGGAGTTCCGTGGAGATGGCAGCAGAGGGAGATGCTGGACCTTGAGCCTCAAAGATGACAATCACGCGCCGTCGCTTCGTTACATTCACTCGCCTCTTTTCATCCTCCTCTGCCGCTAGAAAAGTTCCTCTTCTCTTTAACTGTAACACAGACCCAAATACCCAAACCGACGCTACAACAACTCTCCAGGTTCTCTCATGGGGTAGGGGCGCTTCTGGCCAACTCGGAGGTGGCACTGAAGAAATCAGATTGTATCCTTCCCCTGTAGCCAACCTCCTTGTGCCCAAAACCTCATTCATTCTCTCCCAAACCCCTGGCAAAATTTCCAGAAAAGTCCCCGACGGTGAAGACATTGGCCCTAGTGGAGAAAAGACCATTGAAGTTGGTATTTCTTGTGGGCTTTTTCATTCCTCGTTGATTGTCGATGGGACTCTTTGGATTTGGGGCAAAGGCGATGGTGGACGGCTGGGTTTGGGGCACGAGAATCCGATGTTCGTTCCTACGTTAAACCCTCACATTGATTCTCTTCGATGCGTTGCTTTTGGAGGACTACATTCGGTTGCACTCACCTCGTCCGGTGAGGTCTTTACATGGTCAGTCACTGAATCACTTCAACATTTTCTTGTTCACACGTTTTGGTGAGACATTGTTGCTATATGCTGATTGCAATTATCTGGACTGAAATAACAATTTGGTCTTTTAGTTATGAGGTCAATTTAGATATCGTCAATATTCCCCCAAAATTGTGAATGTCCAAGTTAATTTTCCGTGCTAGACAACTTGGCAAAAGTTAGTCCTTTTGGCATTTCTGAGTTGCTTCATAAAATAACTATATTGTTTCTTTTTTTTTTTTTAAACAACCGATTCATGCTCTCACAGTCTCACCAATTTTTACATATTAAAGCTAAATGAGTCTATCAATTTAGGGATTACATTTTTTAGTTTCTCAATCATATATCTTAGCACTCTGCTTGTATCTTATGATTTGGACTTATAACAATTCTGGTGACCATTGCCATTCTTTAAGAGAACTAGAAATTTGTTGTTAGGAACTTAGAATATGTTGAGTTTTGGTGCTTTATAATTCTAACCAAACTTTGTGAAGTTCAAATTTTAGTGGTTTACATAGGTTTTAAATTACTAGAAAATGGATGTATTTGTGATTTTCTTTGGCGTAAGAAATTTAATAAGTATTGATACATGGCAAAAGCTGTAAAAGACACAATATTGCAAAATTTTATTTCATTCACCCCATTTTGCGAGTTTGCTCCCCTATTCATACTGCCTAAATGCCCTTGCCCATGTAATTACCATATATCATGCATGCTTAAAGCTAGGAATGTTCTTGTCTTTGACACGCTTAATAGTCAGTAGTGAGTGCATGTACTTTTTTGTCTTGTATATTCAGTCTGATGTGTGCATATGCTTTTTCAACAAATGCTATGCCTGGAAACTACTTTAGATATACATGTCAAGCGAAAGACTTGGACAATTGAAAATGTTCTTATTACAGCGTAACATTGTTTGTTAGTTTTTTTTTATTATCCTTTTTGGTAAAAGCTAATGAGTTTTGAAAATTTGGAATGATAGTGAAAAGTTATTTAAGATGTCAATGCGATAGGAAAAAAAAATTAGAACCATAGTTTATTTCAATATGTTCTCTTTGGAAGCAAGGCAAATGCTCCGTGAAAATGCTGTCACATTTTGAAGTGTCAAAATTTTATTTAAATGCTTGCAAAGATTGTATTACCTCTTTGTTCAACCTTGTTTTGGCCTGAATATTGTGAACTGTTATTGCTATTGATTTGACACAACTTTGCAGGGGTTATGGTGGGTTTGGAGCACTTGGACATTCAGTATATCATAGAGAACTATTCCCTAGATTGGTAAAAGGCTCCTGGGAGGGAACTATACAGCATATTGCTACCAGTGGTACGCATACTGCTGCAGTCACAGGATCAGGTTCATTTATGCTCTTGCCTCTAATCCATGGTTCTTTAGTTTTATCTCTTAATCATCATTACCTTATTTTCTGTTCTAACCATTTTGATAAAATGAGTATAGAATTTTAGATTTAACTCCGTCTATGTTTATAGCCGGTCCTAAGCCCGGGTAAAGGAGGAGGGTTGTGTTAGGCCATCAACAGCCAATGTAAAAATTTGTTGAATCTATCATGAACATGGACAATAGACATTATAATGTTAATGCTAGGTCGTTGTCCGTAAGTAACGCGCTGCATGGCTCGAGTACAGTGATAAGTGAGTTAGAGCTGCTGCATCAGCGCCCGGATGTAGTGTTAAATGAGCAAGGGCTACCGCGTCATTCTGGACGCACGCGGCTAAAGAAGTTAGTCCATAAGAGCAAAATTAGATTTGGTACTTGGAATGTTGGGACATTAAATTGTAAATCTGTAGAGGTTGTAGGGGTTATGATTCAAAGGAAAATCAATATCCTTTGCTTGCAAGAAACAAAATGGCGTGGAGAAGGAGCTAAGGATATTCAAGGTTTCAAACTTTGGTATACAGGAAAAGTAAGTGCACGCAATGAAGTAGGCATCATTATAGATAAGGAGTGGAAGAAGAACGCTGTAGAAGTTAGCAGAATTGGAGACAGAATTATTTCTTTAAAAATGATAATTGGACGTGAGACTGTTAATATTGTTAGCGCTTATGCGCCGCAGGTCGGGACAGAAGCCAGTCTTAAGGAATTATTTTGGGAGGATCTGGAGGGGTTGATTCGACACATACCACAGAGTGAAAAGATTTTTATTGGAGGAGACTTTAATGGGCATGTCGGGAGGGAAGCTGGTCAGTATGCGAGGGTGCATGGTGGTTTTGGTTTTGGAGAGCTAAACAATGAAGGGCAAACTCTTCTTGATTTCTCATTGGCGTATGATTTTAAGATTGCCAACACTTGTTTCAAGAAGAGAGATGAGCATCTCATCACTTACAAAAGTGGAGCCTCAAGGTCGCAGATTGATTTTCTTTTGGTTAGGAACACAGATAGAAAACTTTGTAAAAATTGTAAGGTGATCCCTGGAGATGCTGTAACGACACAACATAGGGTCCTAGTCCTTGATGTGTGTATTATGAGTAAAATCCAAAAACGTCGACAAGTAGTAACACCAAGGATTAGGTGGTGGCAATTAAAAGGTGAGAAGCAAGATATTTTCAAGCGAAATCTTTTGGATAAAGGAATTTGAGATTCTCAGGGAAGTGCTAACATCATATGGGAGGATATGGCTAAAAAGATACGGGAGGTTGCAAAAGTAGTTTTGGGAGAATCGAAAGGTTCTGGTCCGAGAGATAAGGAGTCTTGGTGGTGGAATAATAGTGTACAGGACAAAATCAAGTATAAGAAGAACTGTTTTAAAAACATACATTTGTGTAACAATGAGGAAAATTGGGAGAGGTATCGTATGGCTAAGAAGGAAACTAAGAGAGCTGTGGGTGAAGCTCGTTCCAAAACTTTTGAAGAATTTTATAAGAACCTTGAGACGAAGGAAGGAGAGCAAAATATTTATAAGATTGCCAAGAGTAGGGAAAGAAAATCAAGAGATCTAGAACAGGTAAGGTGTATTAAGGATGAAGAGGGAAGAATTTTAGTTACAGATGATGAAATTAAAAATAGATGGGAGACTTATTTTTCTAAACTTTTCAATGATGGAGAGGATTCATCTAGTAACTTGGAGGATTTAGTAATTGGTGAAGGAGAACAAAATTTGTCATTCTATCGAAAAATACGTGATAAGGAGGTAAAGGAAGCTCTTAAGAAAATGGCAAATGGTAGAGCTAACGGACCTGATTGTATATCTATCGAAGCGTGGAAATGTTTAGGTGAAGAAGGGGTGAGATGGTTAACTAAGTTATTTAATGTGATTTTACGGTCCAAGAAAATGCCTGATGAGTGGAGGAGAAGTACATTAATTCCTATTTATAAAAATAAAGGAGATATTCAGAATTGTACTAACTATAGAGGGATTAAACTCATGAGCCACACAATGAAATTGTGGGAGAAAGTAATTGAGCACAGGTTGAGATTGGAGACAAGTATTTCTGAGAATCAATTTGGTTTTATGCCAGGTAGATCAACTACAGAGGCGATTTATCTACTAAGGGGATTAATGGAAAAGTATCGTTGTAAAGATAAAGATCTACACATAGTTTTTATTGATTTGGAAAAAGCTTATGACCGTATACCAAGAGAAGTGCTTTGGAAAGCGTTGGAAAAAAAGGGAGTACGGATTGCTTATATTAAAGCCATACAAGATATGTATGAGGGGGTAAAAACTAGTATAAGAACGCTTAGTGGTCAAACAAAGGATTTTCCTATAAAGATTGGACTACATCAGGGATCATCTTTGAGTCCTTATTTGTTCAACTTGATTTTAAATGTTTTGACGGAACATATTCAAGAGGAAATCCCGAAATGTATGCTCTTCGCGGATGATATAGTTCTTATAGTAGAGACAAGAGAAGAGGTTAATTGTAAACTTGAGTTATGGAGGAGGACATTGGAGTCGAAAGGTTTTCGTCTGAGTAGAAGTAAGACGGAATATTTATATTGTAAATTTGGTAAAGGACTATTCGAAAATAATTTGGAAGTGAAATTGGGAGATCAAATTATACCTCAAGTGGAAAAGTTTAGATATTTGGGAGCCATTATTCAAAATGATGGCGAAATCAGTGGAGATATTTTACATAAAATTCAAGTTGGGTGGTTTAATTGGAGAAAAGCTAAAGGAGTTATTTGTGACCGTAAGGTGCCTAATAAACTTAAAGGAAAGTTTTATTGTACTGCTATTAGACCGGCAATGTTATATAGTAGTGAATGCTGGGTTCTAACGGGACAGCAAGAGCATAAAGTTGGAGTAGCAGAGATGAGAATGTTACGATGGATGTGCGGACATACACGTAAAGATAAAATTTGAAATGAGCACATACGTGAAAAAGTAAGGGTGGCACCTATTGAGGAAAAAATGGTAGAAAATCGGTTGAGATGGTTTGGGCATGTACAAAGAAGACCAAGGGAGGCACCAGTGAGAAGAGTGGAACATATAACTTTGAGTCCAATTAAGAGAGGTAGAGGAAGGCCTAAGAGAACACTCTTGGAAGTTGTTAAACGTGATCTCTTAATTAATAATATTTCTAAAAGCTTAATAAATGATAGAGCACAATGGCGTCTTGCAATCCATGTAGCCGACCCCACCTAGTGGGATAAAGGTTTGTTGTTATTGTTGTTGTTGTAGTATAGAATTTTAGATTTATGAATTGAAATGGGAACTACATTAATTGAAACTTGGTCCAACTGCTCTACACTTGAGTCTTTTATTCTGTCAATTGTTTCTTCCACTATGTTTATCCTAAATTGTTTAAAAATATTACAGGCTTTACTGCAATTCATGGTAAAAATGTATTTGATAAAAATTGGAAGCATCAGTTTCTGAAATGTTTGCCCTTTAAAGTGGATTTTCTCCTGTGCAGGGGAGCTTTATATTTGGGGTCGAGATGAAGGGGATGGTCGATTGGGACTTGGTCCTGGCAGAGGCCCAGATCATGCAGGTGGACTTAGTATCCCTTCCAAAGTAAAAGAATTGCCTTTCCCCATTGCTGCTGTTTCCTGTGGGGGATTTTTCACAATGGCGTTGACAGAGGATGGACAAGTGTGGAACTGGGGAGGTAACTCAACTTTGCAGGGCTTTAATATTTTTCTTCGGATTCTAGTATACTAGTACAAAGCATGTATTCCAAGTTTGGTTTATCTGTTTGGGAGACCTGAAAATGTTAACCTCTTCTTGCCAGCCAATTCTAACTATGAACTTGGAAGAGGTGATAAGATTGGAGGTTGGAAACCAAAATCTTTACCCAGCCTTGAAAATATTAAAATACTTCAGATAGCAAGTGGTGGATATCACTCCCTTGCATTGACTGGTAATCTGGTATCTTGATACTAAACTAGGATTGCGGTGATATTTCTTTGTTGTGCCTATTAGATTTGTATCATATTGAATACTTCATATTTTAGATGATGGCAAAGTGCTTTCGTGGGGCCATGGTGGACAAGGTCAGTTAGGTAATGGATCTCTCCAGAATCAGAGGATACCAACAGTTATTGAGGCTTTAGCTCATGAGCATGTTGTCTATATTTCTTGTGGGGGATCTTCATCAGCGGCTGTGACAGGTAAGATAATTCATATCACCTGCCGTATTCTCATTGATCTATAGTATTTTAATTGAATGCATAAATAACTTTTAGCTATCAAATCTTGGTCCTCTATTGTGATACCTTAGTCAAACCATCCATGGATGGGATAAATTGAATGGAAATGTAAAGACTAGGTTATGCCGATATGTGATATTATGTATTATAAAATAATAAATTAAATGTATAATAAATAACAATACCTGATAAGTAAATATGTAATTTATGATGCAAAAATAATCAAACAGCGAACACTAATTTATATTTGAACTATCATTGAATGTCTATTGCAGTTGAAAACAAGTTCAATCCTACATGATATAAAATTTTTTAGTCATTAGAATTTACAACGTGCTCAATCAATAGAAACAAATACTCGTGCATGGCATTCATTCATAGATGAATGGATAGAAAATAGAGGTAGAAAAGTTTGTAGTAATTTCTCTGGGATTCAATGTACTGATATTATATTACTATGTGCTACCAGCTTATATGTCGGTGACTTAGTTCCAGCATGCCATCTCTTGGTAGAATTTTGATCAAAAGTTTGCTGTGCTGCTTTCCATAGGTAGGGTAGAATGAAACTGAAATACGTTTCAGCTCTCAAGTATGTGTTTAAGGTTCTTGTCGAAAGTTGAAACATTCATATAAAGGTTTTAAAAATAGAACTTTATTCACAAGTATAATCCAATGTCAAGCTGGATTTACGAGGCTCAGCATGGTTTGGTATCAATCCTTATGCAACATGGACTAGCTGGATAGAAAAAAATATTTAACATTGGATTCACTTCTCCCCCCCCCCCCCAAAAAAAAAAAAAATTTCTTGAATATCCTGGGTTTATTGTTAACTAAAGTGCCTTCAGGTCAGATAGTACATGCCTTGTTTAAAAAAAAAAAAAAATCCCAAAATTGTCCTCCTTTCATCATTATCCCAATCAATGTACTCCAGGCGTTGACAGGCTGTTTTCGGTTGTGAGCAGATGAAGGTAAGTTGTACATGTGGGGAAATGCCAATGACTCTCAGCTGGGAGTTCCTGGGCTGCCTGACGTACAGCCATCCCCTGTTGAAGTCAACTTCCTAACGGAGGATGATGGATTGGGACCTCACAAGGTTTTGTCAGTGTCAATCGGTGCATCACATGCCATGTGTTTGGCCTTGAAGGAAAATCCTTGATACGATATATCCTGACCAAAAGTTTCTCCTCTATCAATGAAGTTCAGTAGACTAAATATTGTGGATCTTGAACAAGACGAAATAGTTTGAATTCGGAGAATGCAGTTCATAGTGGGGAACACTGTTATATTTGGAAACAGTTAGCTGGAATGTTTGATGGATTTATATCTCATCATCCCAGTTTTTCTTGCTAGCACTGTCTACTTCAATTTTCAGCTTTGATGTAGCAGACGAGCTTGTAGATTTGTACTGATAGTGATGGCAATAAATTCAACGGCTGGATGCATTGAAATTCCATGCGAATAAATTCAGCGCAAGGTAGCATCAATGCGAATCAATGTTCCAATTTAGTGATGAGTGTTTTTGCAACAGCTTCCCTTTCAAGGGCCGCCAATCGAAGATTTTCTTCACCCATATTTTTTTCAGGGTGGTAGTGTTTTTTTGTTTTGAAGAACGATAATGTCATTGAAATTCAACATATAGGAAAAAATACCTTTTTGGGCAGGTCACTTATTTTTCATTTTGATATTGCTACATGTCCGGGTCTTACTCAATGTCTGGTCATGTTTGGCCTTGCTGAACCTTGTATCCCCAAGCTAACTGCTCACGGAATTTTTTGGTACTTTTGGAATATTTTAATTTTCTCGTAACATGGATGGATAATTAAGTTTCCGAAAGTTCACCTAATGCCAGTTTCAACAGGCATGGGTTTTAATTTTGGGAGAATTTCAACAGAGGACTAAGGATGTAATATGATAATAAACAAGGTTCGTTAGAATTTAAAATTTTAATTTAGTTCAAGAAGATTAAAATGAAATTAATTTTAATGATGAAAGGATCAAAATAGTCTTTATTTAAAAAATAGATGTCGAATTTACATGTAATATTAGTAAATTAATAATTAAAGTTATTTTATAAGTTAATTGTTCAATCATTTTATTTGGACTTATGAAGCAACATTAGTTATTAATTTTTTAACTGTACTTGTTAATTTATTGACATTATTTATAAATTACTTAATTTGATTTGATTATCCTTGAGAAAATGAAAATACTTGTTCAATTAGTTTATTCAAAATTTGCAAAGTGACTTCATGACATGTAAATTTGATTGATATTTTTTTTAATGTTTGAACAAAAAGCCATTTTGATTTTTTAATCATTTAAATTAGTTATCATTTCAGTTTTCTTGGACCCAAAACCCTACATAAGCTTGATAAAATGTGCATGAACCCACTTTTATTTCAAACTTTTTACTATCCCACTTTCATTTTTTAATATATATATACACTAGAATTTTTTCTCATGTAAGTAACGTGGAACTTTTCCTTTTAACACACTTACTCAATAATTACGACACTTTACACATGTTTAAATGCTTGGATACTACGAATTAAAAATACACATGGGAATTTGATGGATATTATATAAGTATGAACAAAGTACCGGTAGTATTTAGCCATTTTGCAGTCATCATAATTGTTTTTTCATTGTTGTCGTGTTAGCAAAAAGGTTAGATCCAGCCTTTGATAGTGAAATGAGGGTCTGAATTTTAGTTGAAAATATGTTTTTTGATTTTGAGGATGATATTCACAAATTTGATTACATGATGTATTAGACTTGAAAGTGGTAGTAAAACTAAAAAAACAAGGAGGGAATGAAGATTTGGTCCTCCAAGTTTCACCTACTTTACAAGTTGGTTATTATGCCATAGGCTTGTATCAGTTATAAATTACAAATAGTACAAATTTTATAATTTATAATTTTGTAATTATTTTAACATTTTTTAGTGTATATGTTTAGTACTGAGGACTTGATTTTGTTTTCTTTAGCAAATTTTGGTGGAACTTATTTAATTAATTCTGTCATGATTAAAGAATGCTGGTTTTAACTTCAACTTGAAGTCCCAAACTTGACATATTTGATGGGTTGTAAACTTAACAAGGTCTTTAATTGTTCAATTGAATACATCAAATTGATTAAAAAGTGTGGATATTTGTTGGGTAAAATTGATAAAAACATTAATTGATATGATTGATTTTAAATATAATTAATTATTTACGTGATATATTAACTTATAAATTGACTAATAATATTGATTTTAAATATAATTAATTAAAAATTAGATATAGCCATGATTTATTAAGTTTGCAACTCATCAAATACGTCAAGTTTGGGACTTTTCAAATTAAGTTTCGATATTTTTGATGAAATCATAATTAATTATGACTTATAATCGAAGTTTTTAGATATATTTTTACAAAGCCATAATCTAAGCTTTCAAAATTGATTATTAGGAAGTATCCAAACACGTACTAATCAAACTCGCTCGGGTGTTGGCTAATGCTGTCTTGATCTTTTTTAGTTTGCTGATGCTGATGAATCTTTGTTTCCTCTCCGTTGTTGCTTCTGTTTGTTTGGTGGCTTTTTTTTTTTTTTTGGGTTTTCTTTTCTGCCTCCTGTGCTGTTTCTGCGTTCTTTTCTTGACTTTTGTGGTTATTTCATTAGTAATGAGAGTATCTTTCAGGCCAAAAAAAAAAATATGACTGCCGGGTACAAGCCTCACTGGTATACATTACATGAAAATAAAACTAGAGAGCTTAAGACACAGGAAATTAAGGACTATCAAGAAACAGACCCTAAAACATTAACCTCTCATTGGCTGAAAAGCATTAGCCTTATTTAAGTATTAAGTAACCGTCGTCGTCGTCGTTGTTGTTGGACGAGATTGCGATATCTTTAGCCAATAGCCATATTATTGTTGTTGTTGGAGATTGGAGTCTCTGCTGAATTCTCTTCAGCATGCATGCTTACTTCTGGGATGAACTTAGCAATTTCTTCATTCACAGAAGAAATAAGCTTGTCCTCGTTCATCCTCTCAGATGGAATCTCCAAAAATTGCTTCATCTTCCCTGTTTCATTGCTCTCATCAAGGTGCAGATCACCAAGAATCATAAGCTGTGACTCATAATCAAGTTCACCTGCAGCAGAATATTGGTTGCGACCTCCATTTTTAGGATCACAAAAGTACAGACATTTGGGATCAAGACACTCATAATTAATGTCTTCATCAATAAAAGGAGAACATAAGGAGAACATGAGGCTTGTCTTCTTTGTTGCACAAGATTGGCAGAGCTTGCTCCAGTCTACATCTATTGAGCCTTCCATGGCTGTAGCTGTATTGATGGTAGTATAGAATACAGTTGAAATTGAATTACTTGTTGAATTAGTTTGAGAGACATGGAGAAAAAAGATCATAATTTATAACAGTTTGAAGTGTTTACAAACCGACCACTCTTGTTATTTGAGTGGCTCTCGCATTTATTGTGATATATTACATTAATGTTATAAAGAGCAAATAAATAGAGGTCATCTTTACAAATCTCGAGAAGAAACAAATAAATCTGTGTTTTACGTATGCAATTGAATTTGGCTATTTGTAATTTTAAAATAAATACATTAAATTTAAGTTGAATGAATAGGTCATAAGTTGATAAATGTGATCGCCAGCTAGTTGATTGTCTCATCTAACCCTTGAACCTGATTCTTATTTATTGGAACTCGTTGTCCTTGTAGTTATAATGTTATTAAAGCTCAATAAAAATTGAATTCCTTGTTGAATTAGATTGAAAAATTAGGAAAAGAAAAACCACAAAATATATTCTTAAAATAACAATCTATTACTTTGAAATTAGGGGAAAAATCACAAAAGTTTTGAAAAATATTGAAATGCTAGAGAAATACCATGGTTTTTATTTGTAATTAAAATACTTTTAATTATCAAAATAACTAATAGAAGGTCAATCATGAATTTAAATAGAGTTGATTGTGAATTTAAGAAAGTTGACTTGTAAATATATGGCAAGTCAATTATGAATAAATAGACAATTTTATGAATACATCATCATTTATAAATTTAAGAATAACTACTTGAGAAATTTTGAAAAATTACATGTCGATTTATATAGAAAATGAGCTGTGATGGATATTTAGAAACAAGATAGGATTTCTAAATCATTGATCACAATCAAGAGTATTGATATCCATTCACAACTCACATTCCATACATTTACAAGTGTGATTGCTTAAAGTCATTACTGATTGTCCCTAAATTACAAGTGATATATAAATTTATAAGACTATCAATTCATTTACAACTAAATTTTCATAAATTTATTAGTAACATTCCTAAAATTGTAAATAACTATCCTTAAATTTATAAATGATGATGTATAAATTTATAAAATTATCTATCTATTCACAACTGGCTTTTCATTCATTCACAAATAACATCACTTAAATTCACAAATAATTTTATTTAAATTTGTGAGTTACTTTTTTATTGATTATTTTAATTATTTATTTTTAAGTACAAATAATGATCATAGTCCTTTCCATGAAATTTTAATAATTCATGATTTTCCATTGTCACCAATGCTTTTAAGTGATCTGTAATGTTCATTTCTTTCTTGTTTATAGTTCACACAAGCCACAAGCTTATATTAACTATTTATAGTATTAAAAAGTATAAACTTGATCATTTTGTAATTATTTTTACTTATTTTTGAATTAGATCCATATAATTTATTTTGTTTTAATCGAATCCTTAGAATTTGGTCCGTTAAATTTGTTTAATCCTCGAACGTTAAAATCTTGGATTTTTTTAAAAATATGGAATTAAAAAATTTTATATTTTTATTAAAAGATTATATAATTTCATAATTAATTAGATAATTTGTATAAATCATAATTTATATAATTAGGTTATGTCTGGTAAATAATTTTTATCCATATAGAAGTTTTATTTAAAATACAATAAAAACTATAAAAATTATATTAAATCAAATTTCCTTTTTTTTATTTTTTTGCCAAAGTATTAATCGAATTTTATATTAACTTTAATTTTTTTTTTGTTGTGGAAAGGTTAATCATTCATTAATAATTTTAAGGATTAACACATCTTATACCCAAAAAAAAAAAAATTAACATATCTAACAGATCAAATTATAAACGTTTTATTAAAATAAAACAAACTACATCAACTTAATTCAAAATTGAAAAAAATTATAATAGCTTGTGAATTAATTTTTTTCTTTATTTTATTATTTCATCGTTTAACTTTTCTCTTTGCATTAAGTTTGAAAAGTTGCGACCTGATTTCAATATCGTTCCCAAAAGTTCCTGATTCAAACTTAGTAGGTATATTTGATGAGTGGTAATGTTTAATGAGGTCCTTCATTGTCCAATTGATGTGTAGAATCAAACCGCAAAAGCAAATAATTATGGTTTGGGGCCAAAAAAAGCTGCAATTAATCAAAGTATAAGAGATCACCGAAATGAACTTAATGATGGAGACATGATTGTTTGATACA